TTGTGGAAATTGCACATAGTTTACTCTGACTGAGGGTGAGATAAAAGTGGGGAGGTGGCAGGAGGTGAGGCAGGAAAGATGACCAAGAACAGATCACGAAAAACCTTACGGAGCTCACAGGGGAGTTTAAACTTGATCCTTCGTCAGACCCTCCGTCCACATAATCTGGTTCCTCTGTTAAGCAGTCACGTAAATGTCTTTAAGAGCAGCAACAGGGAAAAGGGGAAAGAGGGCAGCGAATTGGCCTCAAATGAACTGGCATCTCTTTAAAGCAAATATTCCTCCTTGAGAATACTACATTAGTTAAACATGTGCCTTGCAAGATTCATTATTGCTTTACTTGTGTTCCCCGTTGGTTGTCTCATTCATTAAGCTGCTGATCAGTAACCCTGAACTCTTGTGTGCCCCACTCCCTGACCATTTTTGCGTTCCCTTCTCAATATACTGTGCTGGTCCCCCTGGGATGTAAACTCCAGGACCTGTCCCTGGCCTGCTCATGTTTGTTTCCTTTGCCCCTGGTGCCTGCCTCTGCTATAACATCTGTAGTATGTGTTAAGTAATCCTTAAGGTAACATTTTTATTATGTCATAAAAAGTGCATGGCAAATATATTATAACTTGTGGACTTTGTTTAAAAATGAACGGATAATTTATTGAGTGTGCCACATGAGCCTTGCTCCCCTCCCCATTTCTGCCGAGACTTGCTGCTCGTTTAGCCTCGCCTCCTATTGAGTGCTCCCACCCTGTGACATGCTAGGAAAGCAGACCCATGGTTGGCTAGAAATGACATCATAGTTTATGTACTCAATAAAAATTTAATTAAGTCATTACAGGAATTGCAGTCATCATTTAACCCTCTGATTTCTTCTGTTTAGTTTATTATTAAACATTCAGTAATACCAGTTACTAAATCCTGATGGCTTATAAATACCTGCATGAATTTTAATAGCTTAAATAAATGGGAAAATAGGAGTACCTGATATGCAAGGAACCTTTTCCTTGTGGTGGTGCTATATGTATGGGTTTTGTTTTGTTTTGAATAGATTTTTTAAATTAATTAATTAATTTATGGCTGCATTGGGCTTTTGTTGCTGTGCATGGGCTTTCTCTAGTCGGTGGCGAGTGGGGGCTACTCTTCATTGCGGTGCGAGGGCTTCTCATTGCGATGGCTTCTCTTGTTGCGGAGCACAGGCTCTAGGTACGCAGGCTTCGGTAGTTGTGGCACACGGGCTCAGTAGTTGTGGCTTGCGGGCCCTAGAGCACAGGCTCAGTAGTTGTGGCGCATGGGCTTAGTTGCTCTACGGCATGTGGGATCTTCCTGGACCAGGGCTCGAACCCGTGTCCGCTGCGTTGGCAGGCAGACTCTTAACCACTGCGCCACCAGGGAAGCCCCTTATGTATGGTTTTTTAATAAAAAGCAAAACATTATGGAAAGGATAAGAGTTTAATAAGAGAACAACCCAATGCTAACCGGGGAGAGTTTCTCATCCGGTTTGTCCATCTATGTATTAATGGGCAGGGTGCTCCGTATCGAATTATCTGGCAGTGAGGACACAGAACCTGCACACCAGCAAACAAAAGCTTAAGTGAGGGAATAAGATCCCAACAGAGGTTCACCAGAGGGAATATCCAGCTCCCCTTGGCTGCTGGGCTGGCTAGAAGGGCCCTTCAGGGCGAGTCCAGTAGTTCAGGAAGCTGCTCTCACTTACCCTCACCTGTTGCCTACAGATCATGTGTCTGCACTGATGGAGCTTCCACCCTCTTCCAGGAAGGGCCCTTTTCATGATCTAATCCAGCCTGGGTGATGATATCTGAAAACCATTTCTAGCTGTGGCAGCTTGCCATCTCTTAGCTAGAGGTGAGGGGGAGAGGCAGCTTATAGGTCACTGGGGTTAGAATATAGGACCAGGAGGCAGAGGATCCTTGCTAATAAGGAATTCTACTCCTGCTCTCCATTCTTTCTGGGCAGTAGGCAGCCAGAATGCAGGTGCATCCCAAGAGGAGAAAGTATGTTTGTATGTAAATGAGCCTTGTTGGAAAGCTGGAATTGAATTTGCAGATTAATGTGTTGGTGATCTCTGGAAGTGCCCTGCAGATGGTGAAATAGGAAAAGCATTCGTCCAGAAACCAGGTTCTTGTGACCTGCAGAACAAGTCCCTTCCCCTTTTGGGTCTCAGTTTACCATTTCCTCAGAGGGATGAGCTAGGTGATATCTGAGGGCCTTTCCAGCTCTAAAGCTTACTGGCTTGATGCAACACATAAGCCAGCTCTGCTGAGCAGGTTCAGTGAACGCTTACCTCTGAGAGATGCTGCCTTTGTGCTTGACTTCTCTGACATTGTCCTTTTGTGGCTCTGGTTCTTCTTGCACAGTTAGGAGAACGACTAGTATGGGAGTAGGGAGAGCCTCAAGATGGGCATCAACAGATCTGGGTTGTAGTCCCATCCTCTCATTACAGAAGGAATTAACTCTAGCTCTGGCTTGTTCCTTGATTCTTCTTTTACCTTAGCCCATTCTGAAAGATGGTGCAGTAAGAAGTTTGGCAGTTCTGAAATTTCAGAAACATGGAAGGTACTCAGCAGTAAAAAAAAGGAAACAAACAAAAGGATATTATTGGATAGAACACACTATGTGTGGTACTCAGGCCTTGTGAGGATTCAGTCATCAGCATGCCAGTCTTAAACCCTGCTCTGGCCAGGCCCTGGCCTAGGTGTCAGGGGTGCTGAGATTCATCAGACAGAGTTTCTTAGGACCTTTGAGCAGCTCACAAACTAGTGGGAGAGACAGGTACAAGAACAACTCTAAGCTGTGTTGTGCCCCCAGGAGAAGTGTAGACAGAAAGCTCTGGGAACACAGAGGATGGATGGCTATTTTGGCCTAGGGTGATGGTGGGGTGGGAAAGGTCATGCATTTCATAAACAGCTGCATCCAATCTCACATTTTCCAGTCTTGAGCTTCACAGTTCTCTTTCCCTTTTTGAAAATTGTCCATGACTATAAAGTATTGGAGCTGGTTTTAGTTTTATATAAACAAACCAGAAGGTATTACTCATAATTCCTTGCATTTGCAGAGCACTTTGCAGCTTACCAAGGCTTTCGGTGTACATTGTGGAGTGAATGAATGAATGAGTGAATGAAGTACATGCTAATTCATTTGCTCTACAAACCAGCTCCCTGTATAGGGCATTTAAAAGACAAGGACAGGGCTTTCCTGGTGGCGCAGTGGTTGAGAGTCCGCCTGCCGATGCAGGGGACACGGGTTCGTGCCCTGGTCCGGGAAGATCCCACATGCCGCGGAGTGGCTGGGCCCGTGAGCCGTGGCCGCTGAGCCTGCACATCTGGAGCCTGTGCTCCACAACGGGAGAGGCCACAACAGTGAGAGGCCCGCGTACCACACACACACAAAAAAGACAAGGACATAGACTCAGAGTGGTTACTTGACTTGCCCAAGATCACGTCCTATGTATACAGCAGAATTATGACTTGAACCCAGTTTTCTGACTAAATCCAGATCCTTTCACTACTCCTTTCTGCCCTCCTTCAGAGACCAGTTATGAACCACAGGATGAAATCATTCAGTATTTGATTTATTATCCAAAGTAAAATTATCTTCCTGCAGGCAGGAACCTGATGGAATGTCAGGCACATGGACTTTGGATTCAGACTGACCTGGAGGATTTATCACTAATTTTCTGTGGGATCTAGAGCAAGTCATTTCACCTGTTTGAGTCTCAGTTTTCTGTGTCTTTAAAAGCATGACTATAGCATATCTGCCTCTGAGCCCCGGTGACAGTTAGAGGAGATGATGTCTATAAAGCATCTGGCCCATAACAGGTGCTCAGTAAATGGAGGAGATGATGGTGGGCAATGGTCATGGTTGTTAAGCACAAATCTTATTCTCCATGTAAAGTTCCAGATGACTTCGGGGTGTTTCTAAAACTTGTCAGTTTAAATAGTCAACGAGTCCTTTCTATGTATTACACATTACACCAGCTTTTCTGCTGGGATCCCAGAGAGGAATGAAATACGGTACCCTTTCCTTTCGCATATTCCCGGAGGTCAAAGTTTTATCCTATTGAAGAGATTCCGTGAACTGCACTCTAGGTTCTGAAGGCTCACTGGCTATTCTCTGAGAGGAGTTCTACCTGAGTCTCCACGGTCTCACTGGCATTGCATTTCTAAAACAGTCCATTCACATTAACAGTCTTACTTCTCCAGCCCGTCTTATTCTACCCTCCTGTCCACAGCCTCAGGTGCCCACCTTTCTCCTCAGCATCTCACTCACAGCTCTGCCTCTCTTCCTCCTCTTCCCACCTCTGACCACTTGCTTCTTTTGTCCTTTCACTACAACAGGCTCCTTTGAGTAACCCTTAAGACATTTCCTAAGCTGGTCCCAACCTACCTTTCCAGTGTTCCTGCCCGTTCACCCTCCCTGGCACTCCCCATTTTCTTTCCTGCCCCTGCACTCTGTACAGCTTATTCCCTGTGTCTAGAATGTCCTCTTTCCTCCCCCCAACCCTCTCTTGTCAGACTCCTCCTCCTCTGAGGTCCACTTAAACATTACCTCCTAGAGAATTCTTCCCAGCCCCACCAAGTGGAGACCATTGTACTGAAATGTATTTATCACTCACCACCTTTGGGATAGAATTTGAGGCAGTACGTTGCAGTGTGATTATTTTCTACATGTCTGTGTTTACTAGGCTGTGTGCTCCTCCAGTCAAGAAACGTTTCTTTTAACTTGTGTTCATAGTATCTAGCACAAAGCCCGACGCGTAGTTGGGGCTCAGTTCATAAAACTGAGTTACTGCTTTGTATAATTTGGGACCAGCATCTAAAAGAAGCTGTCAAGTTGGGGAGAATCCTGACAGATCAGGGAAATGAGGATGGACTGGCAGTTTGACCTGTTAGGGGCCCTCTTTCTCTGTTCTGCTAAGAGCCAAAAATCATACTTTTTGGTTTTTTCCTTTCTTTCATACTTTTGTTTTTGCCATTTTGTTTCTGTAGGTTAATTCCTATATCCTGAAGAAGAACATGATGCTTATGACAAATAATTTCTATGTGGCAATCTTGGGATATGATGAGGTAAGCTTATTTACCAAGCCTTAGGCAGAACAGTGGCCTCCCCCAACAAAGGCATTTGATGAGAGCCTCTGAGAGAAGCTTCAGGGGCCACCATCACTGCCTGCCATTATGGCTTAGTATTTTACTGTTTCCTCACCTTCACTGACTCAGCAACTAGAATGAGTATGCCCAGCAGTTTGCCTAGCACTTGAGAAGGAAAGCACTAGGTAATATGGTCAGATCATTCAACTAGTCGGCATTTACTGAGTGCCTGTGGAGTGCTGGATGGAGGGACAAAGGCAAATCAGTCACAGTCTCAGCCCCAGATGCGTTCAGAGAGAGGAAGACATGCACACATCAACATCACGGTCAAATCACACACTTTTTTGGGGGTTTAATTATAAAAACAATACATACTCATTTAAAAAATTCATAAAACTCTGCATAAATGGTTGAAATAAAAAATAAAAGGGCCCTTTCCTCTCCTGCCCAATTCTCTGTCCCAGAGGAAAACTTTGTTAATAGTTTATTGGGTGTCCTTACAAGTGTTACCTGTGCACACACAAGCACCTATGTATTTATTTTCTTCATGCAAATGTAAGTTACACTGCATATACTACTATTCTGCAAATTGCTTTTTTCACTGAGCAATATATCTTGGGTATCCTTCTACATGAGAACATTTAGATCTATCTCATTTTTTATTGTAAAATTTACATAACATAAAATTTACCATTTTTAAGTGTACATTTTAGTGGCATTAAGTACATTCACATTGTAGAGCAGCCATCACCACCATCCATCTCCAGGACTTTTCCTGATCTTCCCAGATTGAAACTCTGTGCCCGTTAAATACTATTCTCCTATTCTCTCCCCCGCACCAGCCCCTGGGAACCACTCTTCTGCTTTCTGTCTCTATGGTTTTGACTATTCTAAGTACCTCATGTAAGTGGAGTCGTACAGTTTTTGTTCTTTTCTGATCGGCTTATTTCACTTAGCATAATGTCTTCAAGATTCATCCATGTTGTAGCATCTCTCTCATCTTTTTCTCAACTGTTATAGAAATTTCAGACACATGGAAAAGGCAAAAGAATGGTGTAATGAACCTGTATGCATACCACCAGGATTCATCATACCTCATCTTTTTAACAAACCATGTGCTTTTATATTCATTTTGTGGTTACCTTCAGATTTAATGCAAGCATCACCCCTTCTGGGACACAGGCCCAAGAACTTCCCCCAGGCTCAACGCCTTCTGCCCTTCCTGGGCTCCACAGCACTTGCTGCATTAGCATTAACTGTCACCCCACTGGGTGAAGATTTCTCCTGTGTAGTTGCAGTGTCTACTCTGTATTTCTGTTGCCTGGCATGGGGCTTGGCACATGGCAGGTGAAGAGTGAAGAAGGGAAGAAATGCATAAAGGATGAAAGTAAGAAACTAGAGTTCAGGCTGGAGGAAATGTTATCACCCTGTAGATAATAATTAAAGCCAGGACATGAGCTTACAAAAAAATTAAGTTAAATGATTTGCTTAGGGTCATAGGACTAGTTAAAATTGAGGTTTCCCAATTCCCAGTCTACTAAATATCCTCAGTTATTAGAGAGCAATGAAGACTGCATACTGCATACATCATGAATTCAATATGAGCTTTGTGGGGTGGGAATTGAGAAACACTGCTTAAATCTATGCATCAGTTGTTAAATTAGATACATTCTGATTTCAGAAACCTTACAGTATGTAAAAGAACGAGGCTTAGAATTGAAGAAATATAATTTTCTTTCTCTTAACATTTGTTTGCGGTCTTTATTGCAGATGGCTCAGTTGTTTCCTTTCACCCACATTAATAAAGATGTTCTGTCCCCCCATGCCAAATCCATCTTGGCAGAGCCATCTTAGAAACATGCTTGAGTGCAAGAGTCACCTGGGGTGCTTTTAAAATCTGATTATCGAGAACTGCACTAAATATTCCAATTCAGGGCTTCCCTGGTGGCGCAGGTTCGTGCCCCGGTCCGGGAAGATCCCACATGCCGTGGAGCGGCTAGGCCCATGAGCCGTGGCCGCTGGGCCTGCACGTCCGGAGCCTGTGCTCCGCAACAGGAGAGGCCACAACAGTGAGAGGCCTGCGTACCGCAAAAAAAAAAAAAAAAAATATATATATATATATATATATATTCCAGTTCAATGGGAGTGGGGCCTGGTGTTTCAACAAGCACACCAGGTGACTTTTCAGAGTGGGAAAGTTTGGGAAATAGACTAATTACCTGGGACACTTTAGAAATACCATTATTTGGGCCCTGTCCCTCAGAAGTTCTGGATTTAACTGTAGGTGGGCATCTGTAGTTTTAAAAGTTCCCCAGGTAATTTAAAGGTATAATTCTGGAACAGTTTTTCTTATATTTTAGTGTGCATGCAGATCATCTGGAGTCCTAGGTAAAATTCAGATTCTGACCCAGCAGGTCTGAGATGAGGCCTGCGATTCTGCGTGGCCCACGAGCTGTAGGGGATGTGCAGCCATTCTGCAGGCCACACTGGGAATCACAACGTTCTAGAGCTGTGCTTTCCAGTACTAGCCACATGTGGCTGTTTTGATTTAAATTCATTAAAATTGAAAATGCAGTTCTTCAGTCACACTGGTTACATTTCAGGTGCTCAGTACTTGTTTGTGGCTAGTAGTGGCTACTGTGTTGGGCAGTGCAGCTGTAGATTGTTTCCATCATCACAGAAAGTTCGACTGGACAAGTGCTGTTCTACAGCACCCTTTTCCTAGAATCTTGCTTGGATTGTGCCCCAACCCTGAACACTTTTGGAACCTTCCTGTTTTCTACTACATTAGGTCCAAATTCCTCCATGGAACTTCCAGGTCTTCTGTGAACTGTCCCCATTTGTGACATGTCCTGTCCACCTTTATCTCCCATGGCCCTCCAGTGTGTAGCCTTCTTTCTGAGTGAGACCATTTGCCTCACTGCTCCACAGATATGCCGTGTCTGATTGAGGCTGTCCTGGACAACCAGGTGTGGGGGGCAGTAGCTGAGGCTGTCAGCTTTGAACCTGAGGATTTCAGGGTCTCACAACTGGTAGGCATTCTCTCTGTAAATGTTCAGTGAACTAATATTATTCTCTCTTGCTTAGAATGTCCTGTAGCTCTCCAAATAGTCTCCATTCTTAAGGTCCCCTTCTCCACAGAGTTCTCCCTGACCTCTCTAGGTCTGTGTTTTTTCACCCTGAATTTCAATATCCATCCATCCATTTAACAGGTATTTATTAAGTGCCTACCATGTGTGATGCACTGGGGATATGCTGGTAAATAAAACAAACATGGTTTGATTCTTTCCTACCAGAGCTTATCTCTTAATGGAGAGACAGGCGGTAAATAAGTAAACAAGCAAATAAATATCTAATTACAAATAGAGCACAGTGATAGAGAATAATAGAGAATACTTAGTGTGGACTGGGAAGGTCTCTGAGGAGTTTTCATAGAAGCTAAGACTGAAGATTGAGGAACCAACCATGTCTTGACTATTCCTCAAAGTCTCCTGTACAGATTAGCATTTGTTCATTCTCCAGGATTTAATTCTGTGCTGCTGTTTGATGTGCTCTAGCTTTGTCCCTTCAACTAGGTGGCAAGCTGCTTGTGAGCTGCGACCGTATCACTGTGACTCTGTGTTCTTACCATCGTGCTAAGCACGTAGTGGTGTCAGATCAGCCCTCACTGAGTGAGGCTCCACCACTTTAAACTCTTAACTATAACCAGGGTCCTCCGGGGCCAGGACAGTCCCTTTGGCTGCCTCTCAGTTACTCTAGGTCTAGGTGTCTCAATTTCCTGAAGGATGCTTTTTTTGTATCGTGAGGGAAAACAAGTAGGCATCCCAGTAGATTGTGGGAAACTTGCTATGCAAACTAATTTTTGCCTCCTAGGCACCCCTTTTTCTTTCCCGCTTCCTCTCTCAGACCAGTTTGTTTTCACTGACTTACTAGAAGTGTGGGGGAAAGAAGGCAGAAGTTGGGTTCGTTGATTTATTCAGCCATTTGTGTTGCACTCCCACTCTGTGCCAGGTACCGCATCCTGACTAGAGCCAGTCAGCATCATCCCTTGACCTCACCAGTGCATTCTGGTTCCAAATCTACCACCAATTAGCTAGAGAGGCTCTAAGCCTCAGTGTACTTACCTTTCCAACGAGGGTAATAGTATCTGTTCTTCCTGGCATACATCGCCATCAGAGCCAGGTGTGTGAAGGAGCTCTGACAGTCTGGAACAGTCAGGTTGCTATCATTGTTAATCTGAGTTCTGAGTCATCCTTTTCCTTCTGACTGATTATGGACTTGGCCTTTCCCAGCCATCTCACCCATCGCCAAGGCTGTCTGTTTGTGGCAGGCCGTGGCTCCCAGGGCTTTTGCTGTCCTGTGCTCTGGGCTCATTTTCTAAGTCCTTATAACACTCGCTCCCACTCGTGTTCCCTCTCGTGTAGCGTATGTGAGTCGCTGCCAGCAGCACTGCGGCATGTGCCCAGGGCACTTCAGACACAGGCAGGCTGTTGTGTTAGCAAATAGCTTGGAGAACAGTGATGTGCCTGAGCTTGTCCTTGGCTCCTGTCCCCCATCTGCCAGAAGAAGCTGGTTTTCCCGACTCAGCCATTGTGCCAGGACAGTCTCTTGGAATTGTAGGGGTGTTTAGCAGAGGGCATTTGGGACAGGTGGACGGTTTTTCCACCAAACTGTCAGTACCCCATACTGGACATGGCCCTTCCTGGCAGCAGGCCTAAAGCCAGACCTCATGTACTGCAGTGCCTCGGGGGCCAGACCACAGCATGACATCGAATAAGTGATCCTGGCTCTTTGTGTAATGATTTATCACTTACAGAGCCTTTCATGGCCATTGTCTCTTAATTCTCACAACTCTGTGGGATAGGTTTTAGTTTGCTTGTTTAGGTTGTGAGAAACTGAGGCTCAGGAAGGGCTAGTGGCTTTCCAAAGGCCACACAGCTATCAAGTGACCGAGCTGCCATTTGAACTCAGGTGGTCCGATCCCCAGATCTCACTGTTGTTTCACCTGTATTCACAGCTGCATGCCAAAACAAGCTCCTAATCTTTGTACCTAGCACAGTGCACTTAGCAAGACACCTGTGTGTTATCTCTTATCAGTCAAAGGTGCTGTAAATAGGGCAGGCATTTTAGTCTCTGTTTAATAGATGAGAAGGTCAAGACTCAGCTTTATTAAATTGCCCACCATCTCTGAGCTTGGTACTGGCAGGGCCAGGACTTGATCCTGTCTTCTACTGACTTCCAAGCCCCAGTCAGCACTTTGTCTGGTTCCGTACACTACCTTGGCACCTGGACAGAGCAACTTCTCAGGGCCTTTCCCTTTAGTCACCCTTGCCCAGGAAGCAAGACCCTCCTCTCTCCCTCCTCAGAGCTCCAAGTTAGAAAATGGCACTAGTCCAGGATGAAGGTCTCTTTGATATTTGGGCTTCCCAACAGAGCTCTCTCTCCTCTGTGCCAGAACCGCCGACGTTAGGCACACACAGGCTCTGAGCATTCCCCTGGGGCCTATGGCTATCCTGCCGAGCAGGCTGTTCCTCTGCTTAGGGAGAGGCTGGGCCAGCCATAGCCAGCCCAGAGCTGGGTGACAGTGAGGCCAAGGTACCTGGCTCTCATCGCTAAAGAGCTAGCTGCCTTGCAGATGTGTGTCCTTGGACCAGGGGAGAAGGTGCAACCTACACTCACCTCTGTTCTTGGGAAGAAATATATGCTCACAGTGCTCCATGCCCATTCCTTGTGGGTGGCAGTGGAACCACTGCTGCTCCCATCTCTCTCCCCTGCCTCTCAGGTGTTGCCTGGGCCTGGCCAGGCTGTAGAGGGAGTTGTGGCCTAGGAGGGTCCATCAGACGTGTGCCCCATCTCTGTATCAACCCTATTAGCCAGTCACTTGGCCCCTCTGGGTCCCATGTTCTTCGCCTATATAAAATGAAGGGGTCAGACCAGATGCTCTCTGAAGACCCCTTCCAAGCTCTACCAAGTAGCTGCCCCATTTCTCTCTCATGGTATCTGTAAGGTCCCTCTGAGCTGATTTTGTGTTGCTAGCGTGTTCACAGTATCCGCAGCTTTTGTGTCCTGGCTCTGCCATATGCCCCAGAAGAACAGTTGTGCTGTGTATTCTAGGGGGTCCTTTCAGATGATCGTGGGCTGGCTGCTGCCCTCTGGAGAACCTTCTTTAACCAGAAATGTGAAGACCCTCGACAACTTGAATTGTTGGTGGAGTATGTGAGGAAACAGGTGAGCAGTCCTTCCCCTCCCCTCCAGAGCCTCCTGGACAACAGGTCCTTCCTGAGGTCTGTGGATGTTGGACTTTCAGAGGATCATGAGAGGTTGAGTTCCCAGAGTCCAGTCTGAGGGAATTCTGACCAGATCATGTCAACAGTGGGCACCGATCAAGAACACCTTCTGTGGATCCAGCCATGAGCCAGGTCAGGGGTCAGGGCGTAGGAATAGAAGAATAAACGGCGCCGAGAAGTCTGCTGCTTTTATAAACCTGTTGTCTCTCACTCACTGCACATTCGACTGTCTCCTGTGTGCGCAGTGCTATACTGATCCTGGGCACACACAGTCCTCCTGTAAGATAGCAGCACGGGGTGCAGTAAAGCTCCCCTTAGGTACCCACTTTGAGCCCCAGGATTCATGTTTCCAGCTCCTGGCTTCCAACAGGATTGGGCTCCAGGCAGCATTCCACAACATCCTGTAAGCCTTTTCCCACTGGGTGCTATCTGTCATCAAGCAGAGTCCCCCTGCTTCATTCCTCACCCCTCTGGCTGCCCAGGGCTCCCTGACACCAGAGCTTCTCAGAGAAAGCTCCAGGGTGAGGACTGCTTAACTGCATAGTTTTCCTCGAGCCCAGGAAGAATTCACTCCTGTGCTCTCTGCCGCCGGATCCTGTATTGATGGGAAATCCATACATTATAGATGAGGGAGAGCTGAGTGGCAGGGAAGAGGCACATGTAGGCTTTCCCAGGGTCTCCCAGTGAGTCAGGCTGTGCAGCTGGCCTAGAGCCCCCAGCTGGGTGATTCATGCAGCCACTAGAGGCCTCAGCTGCTCCAGACCGCTCATCAGCTCAGGCTGTCCCATGAGTCACACCTTTGCTTCACGGGCCTGGCCCCTGGAGCCAAAGGGGCCTCACCTCACAGTTATTCTCTTATTCACCTGTGTCCACGGCCTTCAAGCCTCCAACAGCCAGGAGAGGGAAGGCCAGGCTCTGGTTCCAAGGAGAAGACAGGGCCAGCAGGCCCAGCTGGTTGATTACTGGAAAACTACATACTAAGGCTCTTCAGAGGGTAGAGAACCCCAGAAGCCAGGACTGCTGTTTGACCGTTCTTCAAATCTGCCAGATCCGGGAAGAAGGCACTGTGGCCAGAGGACCCCACCCACAGAGAATTCTGAGACTCACACTGTTGACTCGACTCGCCCTCAGACAGGAGTAGCAACTGGCAGAGCAAATGCTGTGTTTTCTGAGAGACCAGCCCAACTTTTCCATCTACCGCGGTGGGCTTGTGCCAGGGGCCACAACAAGGGCACAGCTGGGACCTCTCCGAGGGCCCTGAAGGAAGGGGCTGCCACACCAATAAGAAGGCCCAGATTGCCCCAGTGAGAGGCAGTCACTAGGAAAACAGTGATGGAGCTCTTAGGGAAGCAGCGAGCTCTGATGGGGACCCAGTTCTGTCAGCAAACCTTTTGAGCACCTATTCTACCAGCCTCTCTGTTGAGAAAGCAGAAATTAGTAAGACCCAGTCCTGCCCTCAAGGATCCAGCTCATGATTTGGCAAGGAAGCCAGTCAGGCACAAGGCTAACCCTGGAGTAAGTCAGTCTGCGATGTATACAGGCAGGAGCAGAGTCTATGAAAGGCTAAAGAAAGGAGGGACTAAGTCTGACCGAGTGGATCGGGGAAGGCCAGGAGGCTAGTCCTGGGCCATGATGCCAGTTGGTCTGGTAGATGGCCTGAGGCCCAGTCAGAGATCATGCTGAGATTTTCAACCCAGGAGATGGGCATAGTGGTGGCATTAAGGACAGAAATGGAGTAATTGGAAAGAGGAGTTGCTTTTAGATGAGATAACAGGTCAGTTGACCTCCTTGCACTGGAGACATGTGGAAATCCAGACCTGAGGTGTGTGTGAGAGACTGGGGGTGAGTGTGAGGGTCTGCAGCCTAAAAACAAAGCAGCGGGAGTGAAGGAATTCTTGGAAGAGGGAGTCGATGCAAGGCCTAAGATGAGGCCTTTGGACTCCTGCCACCTCTCCTTTCCTCCCAGTTGCTTTCTTACCCTCAAATGGAGCCTCATCTTTCTGAATCCAGTGCTGACTCCTGCTCTGATCCAGCTCTCGCCCTAGAGTTTGCCTGTGCACTTGAAAGCATTTGTCCTTTTTCATCTCCTTACCAGCAGAAGCCTGGGAATCCTCCCAGAGGTGGCCTTTATCGCCTAAGACTTGCCACTTGTTAGAGCACCTGCCTCTTGCAAAACTGCCCGACCACACCTCCCTGCAGCTGCTCCTGTTCTCCATCACAGGTGTCCCCTCTCCGCATTGTTCAGGGGGATAAACTCCCTCAGTCATCCTAGAGGGGTGAAGCTGGGGCCCACTAACCATGGGGTCAGGGCCCACTAGAGGACAGTAGAAGCATACACATTTTTTTTTTAAGTTCCAGTGACTAGCAGTGTCCTTCATCCTGTGTGGTACACGTTACTATTATGGGCCCCTTTCTCAGACAAGGGAACTTAAATCTCAGAGAAGGGAATTGGCTCGCCTTGGGTAACATTGCTACCCTGAATGGACAGTCAGACACACAGTTCTGGTCCACAAAGTCAGGGCTTGTGTGTCAGACATTTGTCCATTCAGAGGCACAATGGGGAATTCCCTAAAGCCTGAGAAAGCTTCCTTAGTGACTTGTTTCTTCGAACCCCCTTAAATGAAATAATCCGGGAGATCAGAGACCACTACCCGCACCCCCCCCGCCCCCACCCGCCTCAGGCTTGGGAGCTGGGATGGTCAGTAGCCCCTCGTGCCCCCGCCCCGTTCTCTCCTTTGGGAGGCTGGTTCCTTGTGCCATCTCACGTCCATCCTGCCCTTGTCCCTTTCCTGTTTCCTGTTCTCCTGATTGCAGATACAGTACCTGGACTCCATGAACGGTGAGGATCTGCTTCTGACAGGGGAGGTGAGCTGGCGCCCTCTAGTGGAGAAGAATCCTCAGAGCATCCTGAAGCCCCATTCCCCAACTTACAACGACGAGGGTCTTTGATGGGCTGGTCCCTCCAAACAGCTGGCCAACTAGCTCTGAGGAACTGCCAGAAGAGAGGTGGCTGTTTGGCCCAGGAAGTGGCCTGAACTGACCTTTGAAAAGCATCTGTCAAATACCTGGCCCCATTTGTGTTGATTTTCCTCTTATTATGCCCAGGAGTCTGATTGGGTGGGGTACGGTGCTGGGAGAACCCTTAGCCCTTCTAAGGTGTCCTCTCCCTCAAGAGAAGCCCTGAGAAAGAGCTCCCCTGCCCACACTCCCCAGGTCCCCTCTAGGAAACATGCGATTGACAGCTTTTCCCAAAGGCCACAGAAGGGAATGGGGGTAGGTTAGAAAGGGGACACCCCATCCCCCCCCTAAGGGCCCACTGTGGCCTAGGAGCAGTTTGTAATGCTTCTGAGTCAAGACGGGTAACCATGCTCTGTCCTCCGGCGTTGAGCTGTGGGGTTGAGTTGGCCATTAAAAGAAACAGAGACTTCTCTCTGCCATGGCTCTTTATTCCTGGGTCTTTTAGAAACTTACCTGGGATGGTGGATGCCACGAGCCGAGGAGCACTGCCCAGCTCAGTTAGAGACAGGGAGGCGGAGAGGCTCAGGGGGGTCTCTGCTGCTGCTTCTGCCTCCAGCTCATGGAGATGTCACTGTTCTGGCCAAGGTACAGCCTTCCAGGCCACGACCTTGGGGACCCAGGAGGCCTCTATGGCCAGGGGGCTTGTCACATCCTGAGTCATTTGGAAAGAGGCCTCAAGAGGAAGGTCCCTTTGTCACACACATTCCCATTGAACTGGGTGAGGAACATGCTGCCTTTTCCTCTCTTGGCTCCCCCTTATACGAGGTACTGGGGAGAAGGGGAGAAGAGGAGAACACACTCTTCCTGGCTTCGTTGCTCCGCCCCAGGACCCAGCCCCGTGCCCAGCCTTCCACCCCCTTCCCAACTCGAGGAGCATGTGCTGCAGAGCCACCTTGGTCTGGGCACTTGAGGACCAGTCCCCTCCTCCCTCTGAGTGTGGGTCATCTCTGGGGGAATTTTCTTTAAATTGAAGAAAGGGGGCGGAGAACCATATTGCCCCTCCCCCCATCAAACTTCCTTCATTTAACTTGCTATAAAATGAGTCATATAAAGAAACTCTATAAGGGTGAGGTATATCTCACTTCTGTGAAAACATTACAAATCAAACCACCTTCTCTGAGTTTATTTAAGATGCTTTTGTTGCACAAGGAGCTCTAGAGTGAAGCCTCCTGTGTGTGTGAGATAATAACACCTTGTAACTCATTACAGCTGGGCACTATTTACATAAACCAGAGCTGGGCCAGGCAGGAATTTGCTGATTAATTTATTTTTAATGGAGTGAAGTATACCATGCACCAAAATAAACTTTACAGTGTGTACCTAACTGCTCCTGGAATGGATGGAAAAATTAATGGAACAGATTTGGCTCTCAACTCTACACATTAATTTATATATAAAAGTTATTTGAGCCTTAACCCATTTGCTGCCCAGGGCAGCTCCCCAACCACAGATCCCAGCCTGCAGCACCAGTTCAGCTACCGGGCTTGCTTTAGAATCATGGCATCTCAGATTGGAAGGACCGTTAGCGGTCATTTAGTCCAGCCCTGGTCCAGAACTTGACGCCCTTTCTCAACATCCCAGTTGCCTATGTTCATACGGGCCCTATATGAATACCTCCAGCAGCAGACAGCCCCCACCTGCAGAGCCAAGTCCTGTCTCCATAAGAAGAGTAATCACCAAACACTGCAACTTATGACACGCAGCCATGTTTCAAAGAGCCAGTCGATCTATCATGTCTGTGATGTCCCAAAGCCCTCACTTCCTGCCCGTAGGCGTCTTTCACTGACTACACCCGCCCCCCCAAAATAAAATCCAGGCTCCTTGGAAGCTGCAAGGCTTTTCTTAGTTTGATCCTTGTTTGTCTTTTTGAGTCTCTAACCCATTTCTTTTCTGACCACTTGGGGTTACCTGAGGAGACTACCCTGTATGTTTTCTCTGCCTGGAATCCTGTCCGCTCTTCTGACTAAAGAAATTACACATGTCCCCTAATACCACCCTCTCCTGTTCACCCCAGGCAGTGTTCTCCAGAGGAACTATTTTTAACATACCCACTCTCCATCCTGCACTGTGAACACCTTCAGAGTGGGCATTGGTGTTTGGATCAGTCGCCTTTGTTTCTCCAGCATCCAGCAGCATGGCTGGACCTTAGTAGGCATCAGTGTAAGCTTTGATCAATGAAAGAAGGAATGAATGACTAAATCACAAATCATTATCTATACAAGCCCAACAAAAAGCCCCTTTCTGGACCATTCTCTCAGTCTGTACTACAGTTCAGCTTATTTTAATAATTCAGTACGAAGTACCTCCTTTGGCCTTCGAATAGGAACGAAAGCCAGATGTTCTTTCTCTAGCTAAACGTTTTTCTATTGCAAATTGTTATTATACAGAACAAGTGAAAGACATGTTTTCTTTGCTCTCAGGGAGATTGCTCTCTAGGAATAATTTTGTCCTTTATTTGTACTCTGTGTATGTCCAGAAAGGATCACAGCAAATTAAGAGACACAGGTGTAAAAACTGCAAAACGATTGAAACAAAGTTTAAGAGATAAGGGCTTCCCTGGTGGCGCAATGGTTGAGAGTCTGCCTGCTGATGCAGGGGACGCGGGTTCATGCCCCGGTCCGGGAAGATCCCACATGCCGCGGAGTGGCTGGGCCCGTGAGCCATGGCTGCTGAGCCTGCGCGTCCGGAGCCTGTGCTCTGCAACGGGAGAGGCCACAACAGTGAGAGGCCCGCGTACAGAAAAAAAAAAAAAAAAAGGAGATAAGATGTAAGTATTGGTAGGTTAGAAAACCTAGCCCGCTAATAACCAACTTTCACGTGACTTTTTCAGCAATTTATAAAGTGTGATCTCAGGTGTGCATTGTCTTGCAGCAGTCTTGTAAAACAGGTATTGTTCTCCTGATTCTTATCCCCTTTACACAAGAGACGAGATGGGACTACAGCTCAGAGAGGCCTGGAAGATGAACCAGGGTAAGAAGGGGCCTAGAGTGCCCAGCCCTCATCTTCATCCCTGGAGCCCTTGCTCCCTCCCCACCCCACACTGCTTCCCACAGGTCAGTGAGGAAATCTGCAATTGAGTATAAAACCTTGCTCTGAGCTCCCTGGAAGCCAAAGGCAGAAATGAGACAGGCTGAAGGTTATGTACTTCCCATTGTCACATGAAAGGAATTATACTTATTCATCAGAAGAAACAAATATTTTCCTTACTCTTCCAAGAATATATTATAGGGTCTTAAAATGAGAAACACTGAACAATGTTGTGAAAATACCCCTAAGATTTCAGATTTGCCTAAAATTTTAAAAATTGCAAGTATTGCTTTCTTATGTCAAGCTGAGATTAAAGCCCAGGCTACACTTCAGCCAGTGTTTTTTCTGTTTCTGTTCTGCGCCAGATGCTGCTTGGCGTTTTCAGTTAGTATCTCATTTAATCCTCAGTGACAGTTCTGTGAGGTAAGTGTTATTAATAAGTTCTTGTTACTGCTGAGGGGGACTGAAGCTCAGGGAAGCCCAGATTTACCTTGCATGCAGACTCAGGCGGTTCTGACACCCAAGTCCAATGCTTTTAGTTCTAGAAAAGGAGTACGAGATGGGGAAAGGGTCAGTTGTGCTACATTAAAAAGTAAAAGGAGGGGCTTCCCTGGTGGCGCAATGGTTGAGAGTCCGCCTGCCGATGCAGGGGACACGGGTTCCTGCCCCGGTCCGGGTAGATCCCACATGCCACGGAGCGGCTGGGCCCGTGAGCCGTGGCCGCTGAGCCTGCGCGTCCGGAGCCTGTGCTCTGCAACGGGAGAGGCCACAACAGTGAGAGGCCCGCGTACCGCAAAAAAAAAGAAAAAAGGAAAAGGAAAACTAAAGCAGTATTCCAGCCACGTGGGCTTCTGTGGGCGCATACACATACTAACAGGAAAAGTCAGAACGAGGGAGCTCAGGTTCAAGGTTCAGAAAAGCCTTCGAGGAGTTGGAACATAAAGGATGGGCAAGGTTTAGGCAGGTGGAAAGAAAAATAGGAAGTGAGGATCCGTAGCACGGAGCAGGAAACTTCAGACTCAAGTGGAGCAGCTGAGTCGGTTGCCAGGGAAGAAAAGGTTGCCGAGATCCAGATGGGGCCACGGCTCAGGGAAGCCTGGGTAATGCTGCATCTGGCAGGGACTGTGGCCTGATGGGAGTGCGGGTGCACAGCGGCGTGCAGGGTGGATGGGTGCAGTCAGGAAGGATTCTAGCCATCTAGGCTTGAAGGCCTGGAAGCGATTGTAGAAATTCAGAGGAAGTTCAAACCCCAGAGGCATTGCAGGGGATAAAATCGTTAGGACTTGATGCCTCACTGAACCTGAAGCCTGAAGAAAGCTGTTCAGGGCTCTCCCGGAAGCAGGGAGATGGTGATGTCTAGCAGAAGACAGGAGCATGAAAAGAAGAATCTTCTTTGCATTGTGTTTTTTTTCGGGTGCTAATTACATTATCCTATGAGATGGGGCAGGGATTATTGCCCCCATGATGCACTAGGGAAGCAGGTCCACTGAGGAGAAACCACTTACTGGTGCAAGAAACCACTTACATAGCGAAGCTGACCAATCTCATGTCTTCAAGCCCCACCCCACCTCTTTGGTGCATTGGTGCATGTTGGTTGTGTCTATGGGGAGCTGGTCTGACGGAAGATGCATCAGGGAGGGCAAGGGCATAGGGCAGGCCTGGACCTTGGGGGATGATGATGACCTCGGGGCCAAGGACTTTGGCCCTGTCTTGGGTATAGAAGGGACACCTGAAGTCATGAAACTGGATGAGTTCCCAGAGACGAAATGTGGAGGGTAGAAAAGGGAGCGGGGTGGGCGTGGGAGAAAGCATCCACCGGGGGAGGGTGGGGACGGGGGTAGGAAGAGATTAGGAACCAGCGTAGGAGGCGGAATCAAAAAGCCAGGCGTGGGCGGTGTGGGTGGAGCCTTCCAGGAGGAGGAGGCTCTTAAGTCTGTGTGCTGCAGAGCATAGGACCGGGGGTAAGTGGGTGGAGCTTAAGGGCTTTAGATTCTCCCAAGAACAAGACTTTTTTTTTTTTTTTTTTTTTGCGGTACGCGGGCCTCTCACTGTTGTGCCTCTCCCCTTGCGGACCACAGGCTCCGGACGCGCAGGCTCAGCGGCCACGGCTCACGGGCCCAGTCGCTCGGCGGCATGTGGGATCCTCCCGAACCGGGGCACGAACCCGTGTCCCCTGCATCGGCAGGCGGACTCTCAACCACTGCGCCACCAGGGAAGCACCAAGAACAAGACTTTTGAGAGCAGGTTATGGCAACAGTTGTGGTATCTTGGGAGGTGCCTAGATGAGAAGAAACGGAGAAGAATCGGGCAGGAGGTAGGAGAGCAGGTGTTTTCAGCACAGGAAAGAACTGAAGATTGCATGGGGGTGCGGAGGAGTCGGATTAAGTGTAAAGCAATGAGTGGAGTAGGAAGCGTCCCTCAAACGTGAGGAATTAGGGTTAGATCCCTCTGGAAGCGGAAGCCTGGTCTAGAGAACAAGGGCCTGGCTTTGGAGGGCAGGAGGGAAGCCTTTCCTGAGACCAGAGATTGGAGGACAGGTTGGGGGCAAGTGATTTCTGAGGTGAGGGCCCAGAGGGAAGGGAGCTCACACTGGTCTCCATGCCCGGGGAACCTAGAGTTTATCAGCGCTTGGGGTGAGGTGGGGAAGGAAGGGGAGTGGGCAGTTTGTGGGCCGAGAACCCGACAGTCCCAAAGTGAACTCTTCCCTTGGGAGCAGCCCTTTACTTGCTACCCTGGTTCTGCCCCCTTCAGCCTTCTCCCACTGCATCCCACTGTGCCCTGACCACTGACACCATGGACTTGGCCTTAGGGAGGATAGGCCAGACCTCAGGCCCCTGGCCATGATCTTCTACCCCCTCACTCTGCCCTGGTGATAACCACCCCTCACAAGTTTTCTGTGGCTTCCAGGGGACTTCCCTCAAGCTATGCTGCTGAGCCCAAGGGCCCAGACCCTGCCCAGGTCAAGGGCCTCCACCCCTCTGAGGAGGCGAGAAAAGGTCCTGGAGATCCTGGCCGGGGATTTCCGGGAAGGGAATCTTCAAGCACTGACCCGTAACGTCAAAAAGTGATAGAACACAATGTGAGCACTAGAAGGGACTTGGAGACCTCCAGCCTCTGAAGCTCTGAGAGGCTCACTCAAGTTTTCACAGTCGGGAACCAGAATCACTGACCTGTGCTGGCTTGCTTCTTCCCTCTTTTTCTCCCTCCCTGTGGCCAGAAACAGTTCCTTCACCTCCCAGTCACCATCTGAGAAAGAGCCTACAACAGGGCTGTACTCTAATTGGGGGTGGAGGGCGGAACATGGTTCCT